AGTGCTAGGCCCTCGTTTTTTTGCACTTTCGCAAGTTTATTCGCAAGTGATCCAATACATCTTGTTTTTTCTGCTTAATTAATCAAAATATCTTTACTTTTTAGTGGGTTCAACCTACCAATTTAGAAAATTAGTAAAGGTTGTCCACATAAATCAAATTCTGACTTCAATATTTACACATAATCAACAAATCGACTACTTAAATTGTCAATGTTAATAAGTAAATGTAGAATCGCTTATTGTCACTAGCAACTAAAACAGTGAAAGAAATACAACAAATTCAAGCAATCTAAGTCTTCTGCTTCTTCATCATCATCATCTTCTTTATTCATGACTTTCATACATTCATTCATCATCAGTAAGAAAGGGAATCATCTGTCATATTAATCACAATAACAAATCAAAATGCAATAAAAAAGTGTCGTGGCGTTAATAGTAAAACACTTCATTGAGCAGAAAGGATATAAATGAATAAATACAAATGAATAAAACATAAATAAAAGCTACGAGTAAATTGCTGTTAAATATGCACTTTGGCGTTTCTTCAGTTGTGTTTTGCTTTGGTGTACAATATTAGAATTTCGCTTGCTAATATTTGGGTTATACATAAGCGGGATTGTTGTTGTTGTTTTTGCTTTTGTTTGTAATTGCACATCTCTCTTGCACTGGAAGTGTTTGGTTGTGCTGACGACATCTTGCATTACACGAAGTATGTAACGTATAAATAAATACTTAGAATAATTGACACATAACTGTGTTTGTCAAGGAACACAAAAAGTACTCGTGGAAGACAGACAGACAATAAATGAAAGACATATATATGTATATAAATAGCTGAAAATTGATAGCAGTGTTGAGAATCTGTTGTTGTTGTGGTCATCAATAAGAGTCTTGCAATTTGTGAGTGTGTGTTGGGGGTGCTTAAGTGGTAGCTTCCCGGAACGCTTTATGGATTACTTGTACAATGTTAGTGTATAGGGTTTCAGTTTGTGTGAGCATGTGGTGATAATATTACCAATTATTATTATTATTTATATATTAATAACAAATTTTCTGTTATTACTTTTTATAATTTTTGATCCATTGTTCGTTCGAATATTCAAAGCAAGTGTTTTATTTTCGATGTTAAAACCAAGGAAACGATTATTTTTTTTATTGAATTTAGTTTAATTTTATTACACTGTAGAACTTTTGTCTGGGTATTAAACCAATAAAAAAAATTGTTTTGAAATTTCCTAAGATCCGATATTCATCGCTTGTAGCATCTCTCATATAAGCTTGACAGAAAAATATAGCACTCAAATAAGAGGAAAACGTGGATTATGGATCCATATTTTTACTTCTCTGGTAACTTACGTACTATCATTAGTGATGTTCTCAATGAGCTCAATTTCGAACCTCGAAGGCTCATAATTCAATTTTGGAACTTAACTACAAGTAATACAGACATTGCTTTTTTTACTTATGACTCAATCATTCGAAAAGCATTAGTTCGGTGTAATACCCAGTGAAGTTGATTTTGCCGAACAGTGATGAATACTGGACATATCTATCAAAATGATAATCCTTACCATAAATCTTGGCGATACTAAGAAATAAGAAGAAACGCCCACACTACACCGAAGCTATAATATCCTTCACAGGCTCATTTCTTATAATATAAAAGAGTATAAAAAGATCTTTATCTTGATTTTATACGGTCAGTTTCTATGTAGTAGTAGATGAAACCCCAATTTTATTTAAGTTGAAAAGTTTGATTTTGTTACACAACATATTATATCTATGTATGTGTCATTGATTGTCATTGCCGAATAATCGATTATAGCCACCTTTTGACTTTTCGATACAGTTTTTGTACAGGGTGGCTCACGAATTATGCTACCAAAATAAACCGTAATCACTTTTTCTCTGTGTGAGTATCGACTGTTTTTTTAATAATGAATGCTTGAGATACTGAAAAGAGGGTTTGAATATAGATGGCCGAATCTGGAAGTATCGCAAGAAGACCATACCATGGAGACCTGTATGTTCGTGTTCAAGAAACAATCGCGGCTGTTGCATCGGCAATTCAGGCAAATCCAAGAGTTTCGCAAGAGACTCGCAACTTATCGGCGAAACCTGGAGTTAGTAGACGGTCATTCCAACGGATAATTCATGATATATAATATACAATGACTTAAATCTGTTTCCGTACAAAGTTCAAATAACAAGCCGGTAAAACCCTCTAGATTTGTCCATTCGCCTGGAATTTTGCTAAAAAATTATTGAAACGACCGAAGAAGACGATAACTGTGTAGCGTTTGGTTCCAGCCAGACGGAGCAACTGCACACATAGCGGAGCTCCAACGAAAATTTGAAAACAAATTAATATTAAGAAACTCCACTTTCTACTGGCCCCCAAGGTCACCTGACCTGACTGCACTAGACTTTTAAGCATAGCTCCTATCGCGGGGTTTGAGCGCGGCGACCAAATTAAGATATTCCGTAACGGAAATAAACCTTACACGATCAGAGAGTATGCGCAAAATCTTGGCATGCTTTTAGGCGTATTTTCGCATATCTCAAGCGAAACATATCAATTGAAGAGTACGGTGATTCAAAACTAATATACATTTACAATTTTTTAATGGCAAATAAAAATATGGAGATTAATTAATAACAAATAAATTATCCAATATTCGGGTTCATAATATTAGTAACATTATTATTAATTTGGTAAATAGCTACCCCACCTTTTGAAACAGTGTCTCGTTTGAATTGAACAATACAATTGAAATTATATATTTCAATCGGATTATCTATAGTAAAAAATTTCCACTTTTCTTGGCTGGCGATTTCAACTGATATAATATCAGAGTGGAATAATGATATACAAGAATCCACAACAAAATGTGGGACCAGAGATAAAGTTTCAATGATAAAATTTCTTGAATAACCTACGTGTATTATAAGATAATAAAAATATATTTTAAATAATATTAATTTCTTATTTATTCAATAAGAGAGAAAAATTTGTTTACTTATCAAAGAAAGTAAAATTTGCTATACAATAAAAATAAATGTAAATTAATGTAACGCATTGATTAAAAAAAAGTTATTACGGTTTATTTTTGTAGCACCCTGTAGTAGAACTGGTCTTTTGCTTCAAAACAGACCTCAGTTTCGGCGATAACCTCTACATTACAATTTATGTAATATTGCCTGCGTTTTCATTGATTTGTGAAACAATGTATTGGCTTAATAAGACGAAACTTTCTCCTTCTTCAAATGAAACCAATTTTCCACAATTTCGTCATTCACATGTAAAGCGCTATACAATTTTAAAGAATAGAACTAACTTCCAAACATGGACTCAATTATTTTAAATTTCTCATAGAAACTATTCCACCCTTGGCATATCTGGATGTTTTTATAAAATCATTATTGACTTTTGTGTGTTCGACATACTGTTCCTCGACTACGATTTCATAAGAACATGTCATAAAACGGTAATTTAAGTATTATAGCATTATCAGTTGTCTCAAGCCATTAAAATTCCATTGTCTCAGAATTCGTTTTGCTTGACCAGCTAACGCAAATGGTATTACGCGGCATCACTAACATAGTTGAGTTCATTAATGGGTCTTTACTCCTGACGTCTCCGGATATTTCACCTTCAGAAATTTGGAAAAGTGGAATTTGCAGAATACAGGTCAAGTACGGGGAATGTTGAGACGCTTAAACTTAGCCTTTGTGAATATATAGCCTTTAGCTGATTTTCCAATTAAAAAAAAATTGAACAGCTAGGAAAAAGCTTAAAAATTTCATCACATGTAATGAATTGATAAATAGTGCTCAGTTGGGCTTCACTTGGAACTAATTTCGTTCTTAGAGTTTTAGCTAGTCTAGAGCTATAACAGATGTCTAAATCTGACAATTTATTCAGGGCCATGGAAATTACTGAGGCCGATCGTAATGTAAGCACTGCTTCGATTGCTCAGGAGGTAAACTCGTTTGGAACCATTTAAATAAGGCTGGATATAAAAAGAAGCTCGATGTAGTCGAAAGTGCCACACGATTTAACATAAAAAAATCTTATGGACCAAATTTTCATCGGTGAATTGCTGCTAAATCGATCCATGTCTGAAGCGATCACCGGTGATGAAAAGTGAGTCACTTACGACAACGTCAAGCGAACATCAACATGAGCTGATGTAACTACAGGGAGCTAGAGCAAATGGTGGCCAAACCAAGTATTGACGGTCAGAATGGTTTTGCTACGTGTTTGATGATATTATCAAGGCCAACCTAATAGTTTGCCTTTCTGTATGACGAAAGATATTGCTTATACAAAATTCGCCTGTGAAAATCGATTGTCCCATTTTTGTACCAATAGGGACGAGGGTTTCTATGAGCTCGGCATTACTTAATTACCTTTAAAATTCGAAAAATTATAGAAGAAAATGGTGTATATTCTATTCAATAGTCGATAAATCAATAAATCATGCTTAACTTAAGCGTAATCCATTGTATTTTAAATGTAAAATATTCGTAAAAAACTATATATTTCATATTTTCTTTTCATAATAATTGATACTATAACCACATTGTTAGTTTTTCCTTTGTGTACTGTATGTTAATGAGAATCTACACCAAGAGCACACATCATAAGAGAAAAAATTAAAAAAAAAATGCACTAAAGGGAGACAAAAAAATATCACTGAAAAAACCAAATGCAGAATAATAGATATAAGTCTCATTCCTGAAGTTGTCATATACTCAGCTAATACAATGTGTTAATATGTATGTGTGTGTGTAGTTAGTTGTTGTGCTTTTGCGGAAGTACAAGTTATAGGTTATGATATGTATGAATTCTTTTACTGTATGTTAGTAGTTATGATTTTCCATAAATCTAAGGCAACTAAGTTCTGTTTTTGAGTTTTAGTTCAAAGCATTCTAATTGTGAATTTTCGTCTAAATTTCTTCTTTTTACTTTTTTTAATTTTTTTTTGGCAGTGTACCTATAAGGGGGACAGCGTCCGACGTTGTCGGCATGGATTCAGCGACAAGATTTAGAAATACTGTTAAGGATAGAAGTATAGTTACGCCTGCAATCAGAGATAATAAAAAAGAAAACAATAAAAACAATGCTTCAATAAAAATACACTCGCAGAAATGAACATGGAAAATATATATGTATTTGCATACGAGTTCTAAAAAAATGCTGGTGTTGTAGACCTAAAAGAAAAAAGAAATCACTATTGGTAAGAAAATTAAATCACAAATTAACAGTTACTATGTAGAGTTGCATAAAGCGTTGGCTGTTTGGTGCTGCTGTAAGCACGTTATCCTCTTTAGGTTGCAAATGTATAGTGTAGAAAGACACTTCCGGCGTCATGTGACAGTTGGCATTTTGGGGAAGTTCAAAAATACCCAGGATTTGAGGTTGTTTAGCTTTTATTAAATTTTTCTTTATATTATTTTAGTATTCTTTTTATCATTTAGTATTTTTAATTTTTTTTGAAATAGTTTGTTGAGTTTAATTAGTAACTGTTAATTATGGCTTAAAGCTGGGAAGAATTTTTAACTCAGTTTCTGTTACGTGGGCTTAGAGGTGGGAGCTACTATTTGTAAGTAAAGATTGTTTAGAGGTTCCAAGGGGGGGCCTACCGAAAAAGTTTTAAAAGCGGGACCTTATATTGGTAGATCAAGATCTTAAGACAGCCAGGAACATCTTTTGTTTAAGAGTGGCACTATATATCCTTATCTTCTTCATCAAAAACGATACTCATAAATCAGTTTAGTTCGAAAGAGCAATGATAAGAAAAATATGAAAGTACTTCGTTCAGCTCTATTTTACTGCCATTGAAGTGTACATAAACTTTCTGAAGATTCCTTTTAGCGTGGGTAAAACTACTATGTGGAAGCTTTTGAACTAGACTTTGGCTTGAGTTCTCTTGAGAGTTCTCTCTAATTTTGGAACAAATATGCATGTCTTGTGAGACTTTTTGATTTAAGATTCCTTCTTAAAAACTTGCAAATCTCAAAAGCTCTTAAGGCGGAGCCATGAGCTTCTGGATAGTAATATGGTATATACCATATAGTATATACAGTAAAATTTGGGCATTTAGAGACTCACAGCCACCCCCAGAAAGGGTAAATAATGAAAAATCGCTGCATTGACTGTCAGCTATTCATAGGAATCATTCTCAGTTGACTTTTGACTGGATGTGGAGCACCGAAGGACAAGGTATACCTAATGGTACTAGGTTTATAGTTATTTCGGGAAGGATACAATTTTAGAAATACAAATGTGTGTAGGATATAAGGTTCACTTCCGACAATGAAATGCGCTTATTGACCTTTCTCCGAAACCCGAAAGAGGATTTAGGTTACAGATAATAATTTTGAGTGGTCATATGATCCAAGACATCTTACATCTTACATCTGTTGAGAGTTTGTTTTGGAGATCTACCAAAGAAAAAAGTGAAGTTTGAACACTCTACGAAAAGCACCTGACTATCCCAACACGCAAATCTTTCCAACTTTAACCATAATTAGAAAATTAATTATTTCAATTCATGCATTTTTTTTAATTACGGATTTAAATTGTTGTCTATTGTTTAAAACACTATTTTTTAGATTTATTTATAATCCAGCATTTCCTCATTTCGCTACCGTAGACTAAGGTGATAATTTGAGCTGAGCTGGCATAAAAAATCGATCTGGACTATAATCTCACTTTTTGCGATATTTCTTTGAAAACTCTTAAAAAAATATTATTTACCACTTTACACTTTTATTGTACCATTACTTGGCAATTGCGCATCTGAAAATGTTACTTGAGAAACTTTATATACATATGTACGTATTAAAATCAAAAGTGTAAAATAATTCGAAAGTTTTTCAAAACATATTCAATTTAAAATCAATGGCATATAATATAGTATTTAGTTTTTGTTGTGGTTACTCACCTAATGTTAGTTTTTCGCCCGAATCGGGAGGTAGTGTAAATCCTAATAAAGCCATCGATGATATCAGCACACACGGCACAATTAAATTGAAAAAATAATATAATGTACGTCGTCGGATTTGTATCGTGAATGTGACGTCCACGTAGGGTTCCGGGCAGCACGCGTAGACAATAGTATTCTTCTTCCCAGGCATTGCTGTTTTCAGTTAGCCACATTTGGTCCATTGTTTTTGCAACGTTGAATGGTTTTATTTATTTATCGATATAATATATACATAAATATATATATATATGTGTGGCAATATACAATTTTTGGGGTTAGGGGGAACACAAGTTGCAATTTTGCGGGGAAGAAGGTAGTAAAATTTTGTTGTTCAACAAATTGCAGAGAGAAAGAAATAGAGAAAGAGAAGGTTCTTGATTAGTGAGAATTGAATTGAAACTAAACAGTTGAAAACATTCAGCATACATCGAGAAATCATAAAAAAACAATATTTTGAAAATTTCTAATTTTTAAATGCAATTACCTACTGCAAAAACAATAAAAATCAATTTCACACTTAAAGCTTATCAAAAATGGAGATTCTCGACTTAAATTCGTCTTCATGGGTAAATATTTTGAAATTAACCCATATTTCGAAAAAAAATTTATTAGCAAAAATTTATATATTTTACAATACGAGTATCATACATTTTCGTGATTTTTTCTTGGTTTTTTCTATTACTTTTTAGATTTACCATTTAATTTTTATTTTTTTTTTGTTATAGTTTAAATTTAAGTTTTTATTTTTGTTATAATTTCAATGCTAATTTTTATTTTAGTGTTAATTTAATTTTGACGTTTATTTTGATTTCAATGTTAATTTTAATTTTAATATTAATTCAAAATTTAATATTAATTGAAATTTTATTTTAATTTGAATTTAATTTTTATTTGATTTTAATTTTAAATGCAATTGTAATTGAAATTGCAATTTAAATTTTAAGTTTTATTTAAATTTAAAATTATTTTATAGTTTTGTTTTTATTACATTCAATATAATGTAAATTTATTATTTTCTATTTAATTTAACTCAATTTTATTTTATTATAATATGATTCGGCAACCCTAAAATCTCCATTTTTATTCGAAAAAATCAAAATCACTAATTTACTTCTAGTCTCAATCTCTAATTACTACCAGGCATACAAATTTATTTCATACACAAATTTCGATATTTTCTATGAAATTAAAATTTAGGTAAAGCAGCGTAGCAAATTTTGTATACTCAAATTTTATTAGCACAGCCACTTACAAAATAATAAGACAATCAAAAGTTTTGTAAAAAAACACTTGATGAAAGAAATGAAAAACATTGAAAAGTCACACAGAAAAAGTTATGGTAAAGTTTACTAACCAAGCAGATACCACTCGCCATTTGTTATGAAATCGGAAAGATCCCCTCCATCTTCGGAATTCAAAACCAAATCCAACTGTTTTTTATTGTTATATAATATATTTTTCGTGTTGCGGTTTTATTATTTTATTTTTTCGATATTTGCAAAATTTTGTGCAAACACAAAAATTTACAAAACATATTCATTTGTATGCGGTTTAAGGTTGCAGGGTTGCATTTGTGACGGTTTAAAAATGTTGTTGGTGTTTGTGTTGTTTTGACAATAAGTGTTTTTATAGTTTATTTCCGGTTAAGGCAAAGTAGGGAAAGAGAGAATTTAAAAATTGCTTATTAATATTTTCCGTTTTTTATTATTAATACAAAGTAGTTAATTTTTACAAAGAGAAATTGTAAAAAAGAACCATGACAACATTGAAGACAACGACACATATGTAGGTATGTATATTTCTGAAATGTATTATGTAAGTTTGGAGTGCGTGAAAGCGTGTTTTGCCAAGTGTATAAAGTATTGAGAAGAAAGAGGTGCGGAAGTGGTGTGGGAGAAAAGTTTGGTACAACTATGTGCATAAAAATTACAGCACATTGACAGTTGTATGAACGAGTCAAAAATATTGTTGATAATTTAACTTGAAGAAATAAGGATTTATTCAAAAATGTTGAATTTGATTTTTTTATACCATTATATTTTGAAAAAATGTTCTAAATGAACAAAAATAAAACATATGTTCGAAATTTTTTTTAAGAGAATGTTGAGTTTTGTTTTAAATTTTTGAAATTTTTTTTTCGAAAAATTTTCAGTGTTTATTAACATCATTTAACATAATTTAAACAATTCTGTTTTTCTAACGATAATTAGTTTTTATAAAGCAATTGAGAGGACAGCACTTTGACGGTTGAATTAACGAGTTAGGTTGTAGATAATTTTTATTTGATAAACAAAAACTCTGAAAAAATATTGAAATTATTTTTTTCTTTTTATAAGCAAGAAAAATTAGAGTATTTAATTTTTTTTAAGCCCCTTTTTTCCAAAAACCTTTATAAAATTCATTTGCATAAATTTAAATGCTAAGTCTTTTAGCAAATTTTTATTTTTAAAATTTATAAATTTTAGTTAATTTAATTATCAAATATACATAAACTTGAAATCCAGTTTGTTTGTAAATAGTTCAAATATATAAGATTTGTATCAGTTGATAATTTTCGAGTTTTTTTCAAGTATATTTTAAATCCTCTTGTAATTAATTAATTTCTCGTACAACTGTCAAATCAGCTGTGAAAAAACTGTGGTTGCCAGTATGTCTGCAGAGAATGTCTACTTATATAATAATTTAGCAATTTATAAAGGTGATTTACTCAGAGATAAAGAATGTGCTCGTAAAATATTATTTGTGTTTGTACAGGGTTATGGGTTAATTTTTAGTGCAGTTTGGAACGGTGTTAAGTAATTTAACACTTCTAGCTTACGTATACACCAGTAAACGCTTGTACTGCTCTCGCAAATGAAAATTGTGTGGGGAGAGAGCGAGAGCGCTAGTTAACTGTAAGTTAACTATTATTTCAAGCTTACACTCGCGTCTTCCACCTTGAGAGAGCAGTAAAAAATTTGTTTGTCTTCCATTAAGAGTCGTTACGTACGTCCAAATTTTTACTTGTGTTTCTTTTTGTATATTTTGGTGCAAAAAATTTGGGCGCGGTTTATTAAATTGATATATTTTTCTTCTCTCCATGCAAAATAGTTGAAATTGAAATTTTTTCGATTATTATGCAAATTTTAATTTGAACTTTTTTTTTCGAAAAAATTCATATTTCACACATGATTCCAATTAGCGGTTGCCTAACTTTCATTCCACATTTTTTCGGTTTGTGTGCGTTGGACGTCAACAGAAAACTATCAAACCAAAACGCTTGACAGTTTTTTGTCAACACCCTGTAGTTTTTTAAGCAGTTGGCTGATTTTTTACGCTAAATATTTCATATATTTTGTTTCTGTTTGTGTTTTGGTTTTGCAATTCACAAAAACGCAGTGAACTGTTTTCATGTTTCAAGTTTGTTTGCAGTATATTTATTCAAAGAAAAATGATAAATAACTGTAATAGCTGTGTAATTACGAAAAAAGTAGTGGGTATTCATTAAATATATTTATATTATATAATGTAGGATTTTACTACAAAGGTATCAACTCTGTAGAACTTTTAATGTTATGGTAGCGGAAGAGAGCAATGACAGCCCTTATGAAAAAGTAGTTGAGAAAAATAAGCATTTGTACTATAGACCGAGTATCAAGTATTTAGCGATTTCAAAGGCCTTAGAGGTCATTAGTAATGGTGATAGGTAATAGTAGGAAGCAGTTAGAGTAGCGGTTTCAAGTGTGAAAAATTAAAATTAATAAATAATAAATAGATAAAGATAGATAAAGGTAAAACTTTCAAATTTTACTTGTCTACATATGTTGAAAATTATAAATATTAAACATAATTATTTTTTTAAAAATATTTTTGTAAAATTTTAATGATTCATCTTTTTTTCAAATAATATTTTTATAAATAAATAGTTTGGTGTATCTATTATTGATTGGCTTTTAATACTTGTATTTTTTATGATTTTTAGAAGTTACGTAATTTTAAAAATTAAAGAATTTAGAAATTAAGGATATCTTTTAATGGATCAACCATGCTATGGAAGTTTTAAAATTGGCATAACCATTTATTTTTCATTTTCTATAAGGAAATTCAATGACTTGTATGAAAGCTTTTAAGGATTTTCGTTTAAGCTGGTAATAGAAATTTTCATGAGCTTTTTCTATTTGTAAACTATTATTTGTTATGCGTAAGGAGCTTTCATGGAAGAGCCAGCTTTTGTTGATAAAATTTTTGAAGTATAAGTAGGAAAAGTTAATTAAAGTATATATAATATTTTTAGATTAGTTTTTGTTATACTAAATACATTTTAGTGGTGATCTTATTTTCACAGATGTTTCTACTTTTTCTTTGTTTTATTAAAATTTTCTATTGATTATAAATTATTTCTGAAACTTTACGTGATAAGTCTAAACCACGTTGAAACTTAACTATTTAATGTTAAATTACAAGCTGGCTTGAAAGCTTTTAATAAAGAGTCTTAAAAGCTTTTACCTTACTTATAAGTACTTTAGCTTTCTTTTCAAAACAATATCAGAAATATTTTACTTAGTTTTTATTCAAATTTTTTTTTTTAGAAATTATATAAATAAAGAGGGTAAAACTTTAGAGACGATTGCAGTTTTCATGCTAAAACTTAACAGTTCAGTTTCACTTCTTTCATTTTGGATGTTATTTATTATTAGAATATAGGGTTTTAAGGAGTTTGACTTAGAATGGGAATGGTATGAGTTAAGTTTAAACGTAGATTTAAGTATATGTAAAGTTTTTGTTTGATTCAATTATTAATTTATTTACTTAACAGCTATAAAGCGTCTTATAAAATTTGTAAATATGAAACAATCAATATAAAACATTATTTAATAGTAATTTTGTAAAGCTTAATCTTTATTTACTAAACCAAAAATATTTAAATAAAATTTGAAAAAAATATAATTGAAATGGTCCTTGAATGTGAAAAAGCTTTCGCACAAGTGAGTTCGAGTTTTCGTATGAGCTTTCATGTGAATTATCATATAATTATTAAAGTTAAAATAAAAAAAACAATTAAAATTGTCCATGGGTGTAAAAAAGCATTCAACTTAAGTATTTGGTAATTTAGTAGTACTTTTGAAGAGCTTTATCATAACTTATTTAACCAAAAATATGCCAATAAAAGTTAAAAATAAATATGTATGTACTTGAAGTAATATATAAATGTCAATGGATGTAAAAAAGCTTTCGCACAAGTACGTGGGGGTATCGCATGAGCTTTCGAGTGAAATTTAAAATGTGCTTTCATGGCAGCGTTTGCATTTGCGTTAATGCAGCTTTTGCTTTGAGTGAGTTAAGCTTCTGCTGACTTTGCAACCTTGCGAAATGTCTTGCCTCATTATGTGTGTGTGTGGGTGTTGCTTTCTATGCATTATGCTTATGTTTACTGGCATGTAATATGTAGTTATGTATTAATTTATGTATGTATGTGTTGTACATTAACACTTTACCTGATTTCCATCGTAAGTCCAACTACCGAATTTCATTTCGCAGTGTTGGTCATCAAATGGGAACCACGTGATGTCTATCTTGCATGTGCTCTTGAAGATACCAGGGGGCACGTACAGACAACTGCCGTTATGTTTGACCACAATGTTGGTGTGATACGTGCCATCGAATCCCTCATCCGCGCTATATAATTATAATCATAGCGTTTTTATATAATTTAATGCGCTTTCTTTTCAATTATTTATATGCGGTTTTTTTGTTTGGTATTTTCTTTGAAGCGTATTTTATCATTTACTTTATGCTTTTTTTTGCCTGCTACTTGCTAGTTTTTTGTCTAATTTTCAATTTATTTCAATGTTTATGTTACTTAACGGCTTTCTTTGCTTGGCTTAAATCCTTGCTTTGCTTTCTCTACTTATTTGTTAAATTATTTACTTTACTCCAAACAAATAAATGTGTGTATGTTTATTTATATTTATATTTTTTCTACTTTGCTGGCAACTAAAATTATTCACAGCTCACTAGCAGCAATCTGATTAACTTTTGTTGCCCAACTTTGTGATAATCTAAGTGAAGGATTTGGGTGTTTGGGGATTTGTGAGTGATTTTGTTCGTTTGTGTTTTTTGTTATTGTAATATTATATAGTTAAATATAGTATGAAGTATAACAAGTTAGCGTTGAGTTGTAGGATTTTACATTATATACAAACATACACATATATGTGAGTATATAGAAAAAAAGATACAATTATTTTGATATAAATATATATTGAACTATATGCATATGCTTTTTAAACAGGTATATGCATACCAGTAATAATAACTCACGAAAAAAGTTTGTAATTTCAAATGATAATCTGCTTAACGTAAAATTAATTGCATACTTAGAGGTGAATAAATACTTATAAATATAGCGCATATTAAGTGTATACAGCATATACTTAAACTATTTGACAGCTTAAGCGAATTAATAGGAGCTTTGTATGTGTTTACACTTATTAATAAGATGTAAATAAATATAAAACTTATCTAAATTAGTATTCATGCTCGTCTTATATCTGAAATTTGTTAAAGCTATTTTAGAAATACTTATATAATATGGTTTCATCAAATAAGTTAGTGGAAAGCTCAACTTGATTATACAAGTTCAGATATATAAACATATATTTCTCAACTCAAATTGCCATAACGGTTTGTTTTTTGGTTTTCGTTATCAATTTCTTGTAAATCATTTTAACATAATTTTTATATATTTGAATATTTATATAAATCGTATTAGTTGTAATATTTTATTTATATATACTTTATAGAGTCTCCGACATTTTCTTAATAAACTCTGTTTAGGGTATGAAATATGCTCAAGAAGAATGCTTAAATTGGTGAATGCGGTTTTTTGTTTTGTGATCTGAGTAAGTTCATGTTAGGCAATACGTCCTTTGCTTATGACAAGTGTTGCGAAGGATCTTACTTGGACAGCTAAGAACGCCGGTGCTTTGTGATGTCACCAACTACTAAGGATGGATAAATAAGACCGTCGTGAGTCGACTAAACACTTCAAGCCTGCCTTAAATTTGTTGAGGCGGCTAATGCCAGTTCGGGTATTGCGCCTGATTCGCCGAAAGTACGAATACAGAGATGTTTGAGCTTCAGTATAGCAACACTGGACAGTGGTGGAGAAAGTCTCTAGATGTTTACAACTTGCCTTCTTCCATATACATTTTACGGCTGTCGTCCGAGGAGATTTCTAATATCAACGTAAGAATAATTTAGAATAGTGTCTAGCTAGAACTACTATCTACTTATCTCTTATCAGAAGGACCTTGCAACGGGTGCTATTTAGTTGCTGACCAACGCATGCTGAATGCGCGTTAGGTTCATAGATCGAGTGTCAGAGCGCAAGAGAACAGGATCACCCTTTCTTGCGAGCTCATCGGCACCTACAATCTAAATTGCCAGAGCTTAAATTTCTATCAGGCCATAAATATCTACACAGTACATCTACATCACTGCGCTTTTGTTAAAATAAAAATTTGTATGCAAAAAGAGCAACAAGGTTATTCTTTTGAAAACTTTTTTTATTTCTATTGTATAAAACTTGTATGTTCGATTCGCAACTTTGCATGTATCGATACATCGGAAGCATCGGTTATTAAAAGACGTTATTATAAGATGCTATAATTTGCAGAGCCATGTACCTCCATCAGAAGCATCTCCACTCCCAAGATAGGCAAAAATGGCAGAACGGTCAAAATGGGTCCAAATTTCGATATGACTAAGAACTGTAAACTCATCAGTCAGGCTATGTCAGCGAACAAGGTATTGGTCCGAAGTTCTTGGTGTTTCAGGTAAATCATTCATACTACATTTAAAATGCTTGGGGTATAACTGGCGAATCATGAATTGTCTTGAGATTTATTATGAAAGTAATGCCATTCGAGAAAAAGCAAAATAGATTTACAGTAGCAACGCTAAACATGTTTAAATTCTAAATAAAAAATATGTTAGAATTTTGACCTGACCGTTTCCCAGTCTGCAATAATGGCTTGTCAGACGACTGGAAGAAAGATTTTAATGTAGAAACTTTAAAGGTGAATGTTTAATGTGAGAGAGCGAAAATTGTTAGCGAACGGTACGTCTGTACGTCGGATGTCGGAATTCTCTCCGTTAAGGTGGACTGATTATACTTAAGAAATCATTTACATCATAACTACAGCGAAACGGGGAACTGGTGATACTTTCATTCAAAATTCGCTCCACTATTTCGTTTTAACTTAAGGCGAGAGTATACGAAAATAGCTTTAAACAGCTAATCTCATTTCATCATTATGAAGATAGCGTTAGAATTAATTCAGTAGCCGCGAAACTTTCAGGTCAAATTGTTTGTTTATTGTAAGTTTGGTGAATTCGCTGTATTTTGGTATTGTGTTTCAATCTTCAATTCGACCAATAAAGCTCTCACAAATATACGCTCTGAGTATCTGTATGAAAATATAAGTACACTTTCGAAATGAAATGTTAGATAGCTCGCAACAATACTGGAAGTACCCAAAGGTATAAATAAATAGCAACTCTCCCATAATTACAACCACCCTTGTATTTCTTAGAAAATTTATATACGTTTATAAGACGCCAACTACAAAATATTGCACTCTGCAATGAATTTAAATCCTCTGACATCCACTGGAATTTAATTTACTGATTTATTTGAGTTTATCTGTAAATAATTAGCATATGTGGTTTACTCCAGCGCTAAATTAGCATAATTACATTTGTGGCAAATTAATGGAATCGAATTAATGTACAGGTCCTTGCGTTTAATACAATTAAAGCTGTTAAATTCACATATACTAAGCCTTAATTGAATATTGGTGCGGTCTAATTTTTCAGCGCAATAATAACCTTTGTTTTCAAAAACGTTAAACTAAGCGTTCGTTATTTGTGAGGGCACGCGCTTTGGAGAGATTAACGCGTTGATACAGGAAAAAAATTATAATGGGATTTATTTCGGTGACTAACTGCGTATGCATTTAACGCTACATATATGGTATATCCATTGAATTATAATGCTTGAGTCATGTAAATTTTCAAAAATTATTTAATGTTTAAAAATGTTTAACATAGTTATTTGTAGTGTTGTTTAAATATAAATAATTTATTAAAGCTTTCGAAGTGTTGTAAAAATATAAATAATTTATAATTGCTTTCGAAGTCTTTGTGTGACGATTATTAGGTTATTATAAATATTTACATTTTTATAACACTATATATAGAAATTAAAACTATTTAATATCATGTAAATAAGCTTTGCGGTTCATCATGTAAAAGCTTCGAAAGCTTTTAAAAATTATTTCACTTCTAGCAATGCTTAAAATGCTTATATATATATAAGATGCTTAAAAATTTAAATAATTTATGATAGCTTTCGAAGCTTTTGTGTGATTTCGAAAGCTTTTAAAAAGTATCTAAATTTTAACAACGCATAAAATACAATATTTATATATAAGTGTTGTAAAAAATACAATAGTTTATGAAAACTTTCGAAGCTGTTTTAGGACGATTATTGTTCTATTATTTTGTAAAAATAATTTATATTTTTCAATACTTATATTACGTATATGTAATGCAAAACGCAATGTAATGAAACACTTTTTAAAAGCTTCCGAAGCTTTTGTGGGCAGAATACAAAACGTTAACCCCGTGATTATTACTTACGAGTCACTTAATCTATCTCTATAATTTAATTGACTACTGTGTGACATTTAACGCTTTTGTAGACCGTATTGGAAATTCACACACATACATACATCCACATATTCATATATTTAACACTCGTCTATAACCCCGAACTTTTCGTATAGTCATTTGTTGTTTTTGCCTGCAAAGCCGATTGAGCGTCTGCCATCAGCATTATGTCATTAATAATTTCCTTCAATAATCTCACTTTTCAGTTGTGGACTTACATTTGCGCTCGTAAATCAAATAAATCACTATGCCATAACATGGCTGGTTGAGCATGGCTCTCAAGTTGCAGCACTCAGCCGATGACCAGCGAACAACTCCTACACAAACACACACTCATACACATGTAAATATACATGCAGCTTATGGCCGGTTAGTGGCGCTGCGATGCAGAAGGCCTCTAAGCCGGTGAGCTGCGTTTGACCAAGCTTGTGTGACAGTGGCCCGGCGATGGCAATGGTAAAACCAGAGCTGGCTAGCAGCCAATTTATTGCCGCCATATTGTTTCCGCTCATTTGATGCGCGTTTGGTTCGCGCTGTTGAGCTCTGTACGCTTTGATTGCTCTATTTTCGCTTGTATTTGTGTCTTTGAATGTGTGTGTGAAAGTATTTCTAAGTCTTCCTTTGGTGAAGTCGTCAATTATTAAGCTTCATAAATCGCTTCAATGGTTTCAATTACACGTCGTCAGCTGCCAAGTGCTTCGTCTTTCTATATCGCTCTTCGCTATTCAGTCAGCTTTATAAATGGTTCTTGCGGACTTCGTTTTGTTTCGTATATAGAACTTTCAACTAGCAAATTTTTGTATTATTTGTTAATTTAAAAAAGAAAGAAATTGATTCAAAAGCTCTAAATATATGACAGTTTAATGACAGAAAAGCATAAAACAGGTGGGAAAGTTGGAATTTCTATTGTAATCGTAACACAAAAGAAGATAACGAGATTA